TTACAATTTGTAGAGCTTGTTTGCTTGTCTAGGGCACTTGGCACTGCATAGGAAGGGGGTTAGGGTTGGTAATTTGAAAGAGAAAGGCTTATGTTCATTTTTACCATGCATCCTGTGCCAGACAGGCTTCAGTCATCAAGGCAAAATAACCAGATGAGCATCGCCCTATTGTACACTCACTATCACATAGCTGGTTTCTAACAAACTTGTTAGTTGCCATGATTGCTTCATTGCTTGGTGCAGAAAAGTAAATAATAAAAGGAAACAAAATTTCTCCCCCAGTCATTAGCTCTCAGTACTTGTGGGCCCCAAGTTGAGAAATGCTGGCCTAGACTCTGGTACCTCTGCATACACTGCTGTAGAACTAAACTTGCCTGTGGAATCAGGTGGCCTTTGCCTAACTTTCTATGATATAATAATTTATAGGAGATATATATTTGGCCATTCAGGTGACCAAAGTATATTTCTCATATTTCTCACATATACTCACTGTGGTCTACATCCACAGTTCCTAAAAATGCTTCAGAGCCCTAAATGTGAAATGAGTGTCTTGTTATTACAGAAAATGAGTTTTGGACCATACCCCAGGGGCTTGTTGCCAAGAGGACCAACCATTGATTAAAGGGTTAGGAATTATAGCTTTCCTTCATCCCCTCAACCTCTGAGGAGGGAAGAGGGAATAAAGGCTGGAGGTTGAATCAGCCAATGGCAGTAACTCAGTCTGTCATGCCTATGTATTTCAAGCCTTCTTAAAAACGAAGAGAACAGCTTTGTAGCTCTTTTCCTTTTCAGAGAGCTTCCATGCTTGGGGAACGCGAACACTTGGGGAACATCTATCCAGGTCCCAAACTCTAAGAGGAGAGAAGCTCTTTTGTTCAGTACCTTGTCCTATGTGTCTTATTATCTGGTTGTTTATTTGTATCCTTTAATAAACTGGTAAGTGTGTTTCCCTGAGTTCTCTGAGACACTGGAGCAAATTAATTGAACCTAAAGAGCTGGTCCTTGGAACCTCCAGGTCCTTGGAACCTCCAATCTGTAGCTGGTTGTTCAGAAGCACAGGTGACAGCCTGGGGCTTGCAACTGGTATCTGAAGTAGGGAGTGAGGAACAGCCTTGTGGGACTAAATCCTTGACCTGGGAAATCTGATGCTATCTCTAGGTAGACTGGGTCAGGATTGAGTCAGGACACTACTGTTGTCCAGGAATTGCTTGGCATTGTATGTTGGGGAACCCTCCCCCTGTGTTGGAATTGTGTCTGGAAACCCAAATTTACTTTCATTCTTCTAAATCACAAATGATGAGATTGAGAGAGGTAGATTAAATCAGATCTGGAACCCTAGCATCAGAGGAGGTCTAGGAAATGCTTTTTTTAAATAAAGCTTTCAAGCTCCTGTAGTACAGGAAGACACACAAGAAGGAAATTGGGATAGTATTTGTGTCACTGTATCACCCATATTGTTGGATTTTTAAGAATGAAGACCTGCTGACTTGTGTAGTAAAGTTTTCTTAAAACAAGTCTTTAAAGTATTTGTTCATTTAAAAATTACTATCTGTAATGTGTTGGCACTGTTCTAGATATGTGGGAGGCATTTATTGAGCAAAACAGAGATTTCTGCCCTCCTGGAGCTTTAATTCCATTGGCAAGAGATAGATAGTAAACAAAATACATAGTTAAATGTCTGGTTTACAAGGTGATTGAAAAGAGTCAAATAGTGACCATTGAGATATTAATACTAAACCATGTGATTTCTAATGTGGCATATATCAAGAACATAGGGTTGCTACCCCTTTTTCCTTAAAACCTTCAGGAAATGAAGAAACCCTTTTGGTTACTGTTGTAGTCATCACTGATGATAAGCTGGTTAGGGTCTGGGATGAATTTGACTACAGGATTGATATATATGGTATGAGGGGGTATATAGTGAGCATTTGTAAGTTTATATGACTGAACCGATGGTTCCCTTAAAAACTCATTTTGACACATGTTCATGTATAATTAGTTATTGAGTAGTACAGTTTTGAGAGTGTTCAGTTATTTTTTAGTCTAGTCACCCTGTATTAGAAGGTGATAAGTGCTCTGAAAAAAGACAATGTAGATTTAGCCAAGGGACTGTTGGCATGCTGACAGCATTCATTGTAGGGTTTTGAGCAGTGTGGTGACAAGATTTAGCTAAGGTTTTTTTCCCCTTTTTCTTTCCCCCAAGGTTTTAAAAGGATCAGTGAGGATGTTGTGTTGAGAATGGATTGTAGGAGCAAAAGGTGTAAGGGAGACTAGTTAGGATTGGCTTGACCATAGTGGTAGATATGGTGAAAGTGATCCAATTCTTGGTATATTTTGAAAGTAGAGTGATCAGGACTCTCTGATGGATTTCATTTAGGAGTCAAGGAGGAAGTTAAGGTTTTGGACTGAGCAATTGGAGAATTGTCTTCACTATTGGGGAAAGCTGAAGTTAGAGCACACTTGGAAGGGAAGGAGATCAGTTTTGGATATGTTGAGTTTGTATTATTAATGATCCATGTGGAGCGGTTGAGTAGTCATGAGACTGGATGAGATCACCCACGAAAAGCCTGCAGTTGGAAAAGGATAAGAAAGAACTCAGCCTTGGGGCATTCCAGTGAAGAAGTAGGCAGAAAACAGTATGACCAAATGAAAATGTTTCCAAGAAGAGGAAGTGGTCAGCTCCATCTGATGCTGCTGATAGGACAAGTAAGATGAAGACTGAGAGAATTGACAATTGATTGCATTTAGTAACACAAAGGTCACATTGGTGATGATGAGAGCAGCGTTGATGAAGTGATGGAGTGGTGTGGGGATAACGACTGGAGTGTGTTTAAGAGAGACTGGGAAGAGAGGACTTATTGACAGACTGTGTGAACAACTTTTTGCTTTCAGAAGGGGAGAGAAATGGGACAGTAGCTCAGTGGGGAAATGGGAGCAGGAAAGAGTTTTTCCCTTAAGAGACAGAAATAGCAACATGATTTTATGGCGATGAACATGACCAAATAAAGGGGAATGAGTAGATTATACCTAAATCCCATGGTTAGTTTTTATAGTTACCCCCTTGCATACAGTCTCAACTCCTTTGCCTCTTCCTTGCCTTGGCACACTTGGTTGGCAAAGCCACAAACTTGCTGAAATGCAGCACTCTGTTCTGGTGCCTGCTTCTTCTATTACACCATACTGTAATGAGCACAAACTTTCTTAGCAAAACAGTTTGTCGTTTTCTCTGAGGCACTCTAGCCTCAGACTTCATCAATAAAAAGCGACTGTCAGGGACACACTGGCTTAGCCCTAGGATAGTGGGATTGAGAGCTGTCCTTTTTCCTGGGGACTCTTGAGTTCCAGAAAGCAGAGGTCTTTGAGGTTGTCAATTTCCTTAGTGAAGATTATTTGCCAGGAGTTCTGGAACTGGCTATGAACACCTTCCAAAAGAGTGAGGCATGGGAATATAGACAAGTTATTTGTAATTACAAGCTTTAGTCAGTTGTTTAGTAGCCGCTTCCTGTTTGTCTTTGGTCCTTCCAAGCCCAGGGTTCCAGGTTTCCTGAGTTCTTCTGGACAGTGCAGTCCTTTCCTCCTTTGTTTTCCCTTTTGTCACTGTGGGCTTAAATATAACTTTATTTCTTTACTGTCTACTTTAATGTAATTCTGGGAGGGAGAGGAAGTGGCATCTGTGGTTAAACTATTATTTTATATCTACTGGAAATTTAAATCATTTCTTAACTGTTGAAGTACAATTGGCACAACATTAACCTTTTCAACTCTGTCAACTCTAGTAAGAGTCATAGTAAACTCGAGATGTGCTGTTAATGTAGCTTTAGAGAAAGACCTACCATTCAACAAGTAACTTAATTAACCTGTTTATATCAGGAGCAGTGCTTTTGAAAACATAGAATTTCCCCCTTTTTGGATATGTGATTCTTAATTAATTTGGAAATTGGAAAAAGTTACTTTGACTTTACAGTCATTAAAAAAATAGTCAATTGAAAGAATGGTTAGCGATTTAAAATTTCTTACCAACTTTAAAAATAGTTCATATAATTTTTGTACATAATTTTTAACTGTTTCCTCTTGTGTGTAATTGAGTTAATGGGAACATTGAAAAAAAATCATGTCTTTCATTGAAGTAAAAGTTCTTCCTTAATTGAGGAAAAACATCCAGAATACTTATATCTGTTAGATCTATTATGTGTAACAGTTTAAAGTCTTTTCTTTTGCATGTGTGTTTTCCTCTAAGTATAGCATTACTAAGTATTGCATAAATAAGTGATTAACTTGTTGAACTGGGAGTAATTTTTTTGTTTTGCTTTCTAGTGATGCCATAAAATTCTGCTTAAGTAAGCATTAACATATAAAATTAAAAAATACTCAGGGTGTTTTTTGGGTGAATTGTTCCAAAATAAATCAAAATGTAATGAAAATTGTGTGAATCAAGATTTAAGGTTTTAAAATGTATACTGTGTCCTTTCTAAAGATGAAACAGTATTGATTGAAGGAAACTATGCATTTAAAAATATTAAATGAGATGATGTTATAGAAGGTTTTTACTCTGTGAAACCAATTTGTTACTGTAAAGTGCTCTCATGTAGAAATAATCATACATATTTACATGTATTTGCTATGTGAATGGTGGGCAGTAAGTAATCGTAGGAGGCTGTGGTCAGTTTGAGTATTTTAAGGAATTTTTGAACAGGAAGGATAATTTGAACTATCTCAAGAGAAATTAGAAATCTTATCATTAGATTATAAACGATTATGTTAGTTTTTGTAGCTCCAGGATATTGATAACATTTTTCTGGCTGATTATGGGTAATTTATTAGAAGTCATACATTGCCCCTTGAAGTTAATTACCAGAAGCATGTAAAACTGAAATATTGTCCTGTAGTTTCCAGTGTTATGTGTTGCCCATAATAAAAACTTTTAATTGTGTGGCTTTTATGACATCTACTATATAGAAAAAAGAATTGTGTGTTTAATATCATTACTATTTTTCTTTTAGATTATTTGCGATGGTGAAATGAAGTAACTCAAGATGAGCAAGTTAAAAGTGATATCAGAGAAAAGGTACTGTTCTTCTAAATACAAATATGTATAAATTACAGAAATAATACATGAAGTGGTTATTGAAGCTCATTACTTAAAAATATTTACTTTTAAATAATAGTATATTTATATTTTGTTAATATTTATTAATGTTCAACTTTTCAGCTAAGCAGGAAGTAGCAAACTATAAGCAGGAGAGGAGGCAGCAAACTATTAAATTGGGCCACATCTGGCCCACCTCTAGTTTTTTTATGGCCTTTGAGCTAAGAATGGTTTTCACATTTCTAAATGGTTGGGGGGAGGAAATAAAAATAATAATATTTTATGACATATGAAATTATGTGAAATTCACTTCAGTGTACTTAACATAGGTTTTGTTGGAACATAGTCATGCTCTGTTACTTTTATTTTGTATGAACACTTCTGCATTACAGTGGCAGAGATGAATGAGTAGTTGTGACAGACACTGACTGTAAGGCTTTCAGTGCCTAAAATGCATGCAATACATGGGTTTAACTGACCCCTGAGTTAAAGCGTCATTTTTATTAAAGCTCTTATGTACCAAGAATTGTCCTTAGCTTTGATTTTACTGTGGATTCTTTCAGTTAAAAGTCAGACAAAGTTGATTGATTCTGTTTTGGAGTTTTCATAGCTAAATTGCTTAACTATGTTAACTCTCTGTTTTCTCACCTATAAAATGAGTTTAATAGTAATGCTGTTACTGTAAAGTTGTGAAGACTAAGTATTGTATTGCATGGCCAACTCAGTTAATGACAGCTTATTAATATTGATAATAATCAGAGTATCTGCTTTGAGCAGTGTTGTATGTTATATTAACGTTTTTACAACTTCACATTTGCAGGTATGCTTTGACTCTGTTTTATAATGAAAAGTATACACACATTTCAAATTTAGATTTTTTCCTTAGTTAGGTTTTCCAGTTATTAATTACTTAATACATTGTAACAAATTTCATTGTTCAGTGTTCGTATAGTTTCTATGGGAAAATAATTAGGCATTGTTTGTGTTTTAAAAGGGGGCACTAAGCCTTACTTTTTGAATTAGGTCAAACAAGTAATGCTATTTCTAAGTTATCTAAAATTATTACATTGTTGTTCATAAGAATATGAAGTGACAGTTGGAAAACCTCTGGCCCCTAAGATTGGGTTTCATTTTATTCTCCTGAAATATATTTTATTGGATATTTACTGTTATTTTTGTTGTTGTTTTAAGCAAACTAAATTGGGATCACTGCAAATGATCTTTAAATAAAGGAAATTATAATTTTCAGTAATACTTATCATACTGCTCTGTGAAGAAAGCTGGATGCAGTAAGATAAATTAAGATAGAAAGGGTCAAGGTCTTTCTCCTTCCTTCCTGTGTAGTACAGTGTATTGAGACTGACTGTCTGAGAGCTCACAAAAAAATGTCTTTCAGGATCTAAGAAAGGGGGGAATAAATTTAGGTATTACCTTGAATTTTTTTCTTAACACACTAATTTCCACAGAAAATCTATTATATGCTTTCTGTATCTCCAGAGGCTTCTATAGATGCTCTTTTTGGTTTATTTTGTGTAGATTTATTTTTCAGCTATGAGGTATCTCTTAAAATACTCTTATGTATGTAGCTTGGCACTAAATCTGTGAGAGTACAAAAGAAACATAAATAAAACACGTAATAATAGAGTGCTTTGCAGAAAATGAGTGTTGAGTGTGTTCTGAGAAAATGAGCCCTATTCTCCCTTTACACAAAGCTTGCAACCCCATGAGAAGAGCATGTGTGAACAAATGCAGTATGGTGATTTAAGCAGCATCACAGTGAAGTGTTAGACTTCATAGAAGTGAGGCCCATGGAGTTAGAAAATGAGATTCTCATGTAAGTAGTGTTATTTGTGTGGCAAGCTTGAAGAGGCAAGGCTGGCCTGAGATTTTCTTACTTTATAGCAAATCTGTTAATTTCGCTCAGCAGTATTTTGTAGTTTTCAATGTAGCAACCTGGTCTTTCAGGTTGTTAGATTTATTCCTATTTTCCACAAAAATAACAGCTCTTTGGAGGTCCATAGTAATTTTTAAGAGTATAAAAGTATCATGAGGTCAAAAGCAGTTGAGAACTTTTGACTTAGCCTATGCTGACTTCTATATAAAGCTTAAAATGGGACTGAAAATGTGGTTTTATGAGAGTGACCAAACTCTTGTTACTGTGAAAGACAGAACAGATTTGGGGGCAGTTTAGCAGTTAGCCACAAACACCTAGAATTCTGGAAGAATATGACCAGAGAAGTTACAAAAAATAATGAATGTAAAATAATTTGCATTTAATTGATTTTGTTGAAGGAATTTAAAGGGCAACTTGATTAATTATTGTTGATACTAGTATATAATTACGTAGTTTAAAATTTTAACAAGATTTTACTGGCTGTGTTTAACAAGTCACTTGGTAGTATTGAGCTAAAATTTATTGTTAAAGAAGGCTTTATTGCATTTAATTATTATATAATAAGTAGTCAGAAATAGTTATTGTTCTCTTCCTATTAGAAGAATGTTGTTTTTCAGACTTATGTACTTAACTCTTTCTACAAAAGAATGCTAATGAAATTATTTTTCATTGTCCTTTGATTCATGATGGAGGAGAATAAAGTGTGTTCAGTATTTTGAGAGAAACAGTAAAAGTGTGATGAAAGCACAACAATAAAAAACAGTAAAGAAAAAAGTTAGGAGTTATAAATGACAAACAAACATTAATGAAATATAATATGCATTTTGGAAATTAAGCCATACTTATTTAAAATAAAGTCTTATGTTCTGTGAGTCTTGTTTAAGCTTAAGTATAGTTTTATGGATATTTTTCTGTCAGATGTTTTTACCTTATTTATGAGGACATCTTTATTACCTGCATTTGATTTGCATTTAAGGTGAAAAAGGTAGTAAAATTTATTTATAATGTGAAGTTATTGTAGCTCTTGCAGTTGTTTGGGAAATTATGTTTTGCAAAGATAATGTCTGTATGTCCTTTGGACTTTGGTGCTATTCCCCAAATTTATGTTTTTAGGAAAATAGCTCTAAGACTGAGTATAAACTCAACAGAATTCAAAATAGGAGGAGACCAGTTTAGTGAAGCAAATATTTGAGTAATAATGTCTTTAAAATACACATTTGAAAATTAACTTGATTTGATGTTTTCACATTGATCATATTTTCAACTCCATGATTTTCTCACTATAAAATATAGTTGACCATTGAACAACATGGGTTTGAATGGCACAGGTTCACTTATACTTGGATTTTTTTTTCCAGTAAATATATTGGAACTTTTTTTCTGGACATTTGCAACCATTTGAAAAAACATTTTCTCTAGATTACTTTATCATAAGAATATAGTAATAATACATATACAAAATGTGTATTAATCAAGTGTTTATGTTATTGAAAAGGCTTCTGGTCAGTAGACTAGAAGGCTATTAGTAGTTATGTTTTTGGGGAGTCTAAAGTTATATGTGAATTTTCAACTGCATGGAGAGTACCCCTAACCCTGCATTGTTCAGGGGTCAACTGTAATTAACAAACACTTATAAATGGAAGCTCTGAAGGCTGATTTTAGCCTCATTTTGATTCATCTAAAAATAGAGTAAGGCAGGAAAGATACATCCTTTTATTAGTCTATTTGAAATTTTTCTGCTTTACAGTGTAGCTCAAATTGTTCATTGATTAGCTGTATGGCTTTTGTTTTTGGGCCTTTATTCAGATTTTCCCAAGTCTAAAACTCATTCAGAAAGTAGAGCTGCCCTTTGGTATTTACCCTGTGATTCTTAGTGTAATAGCCTTCAATTTGTAGAAGTGAGTTGGGGGTGCCTTAGAATATTTGTTCAGTTTTCATTCTGAGAAAAGTAGAAATAACGAAATTGACTTTCTTATGTTTTCGATTTCCATTTATTTGCCTGCCTTAAAAAATTTCATTCATCCATGTGTCTATCATTTGAAAGAGCATGATTCTCAGAGAGGACTCACTTAGATGAAAGGTTTTTTTAAAATAGTGGTATAATTTAATTAAAAGTTCTAGGAGTTACTGACAAACTCTTAATTTGGTATGGAATAGAACATGTGTTATGCTCAGTGTATTTGTAAATTTTTTGAATAGCAGATTTTTTTTATTAGCTACTGGAAAGTAAAGACTTTAAAGAGAAAAATAATTGGTGAAAATTTAGAAATGACCAATTATTAAACTTCAGAATTTTGGTTTCTGTAATGCAAATTTCTCTTAAACCTGGATTATAGAACCGCTTTTAAAGTTATGTTTGCTCTCTAGTATGAAAACCATGGTGTCTGACTTGCCTTGCTCACTAAAAGAACCAGGGCTTTTTGGAGAAGAGGTCAATCCCAGATCAGTAGCACAAGATGTGCTAGATAAGCCTAGAACAGTGGTTCTCAAACTTTTTTTGTCACAGAATCTCTCTGTGCTCTTAAAGTTTTGAGGCCTTGAGAAGTTTTTGTTGATGGAGGTTACTTTATCTATTGATATTTACCATATTATAAATCAAAACTGAGAAATTTAAAAATATTCACATAATAATAGTATAAAGAGTTATGGGTTCCAATTCAAGATGGTGCTATAGGAGTATCTTGGTCTCACCTCCTGTGTATGCTTTGAATCTGCAGCTACATGTGGGACAACTTCCTCTGAAAATAATCTAATAACTGAACAACTGCTTTGGATCAGGCAAACCAGAGAAAGCCCACAATGAAGCATTTTTACAGAGCAAAGATGGAGGAATAGGTGGGCACAGTGAGACTCTCCCACATACACATTGAGGAAGCAACTGCATTGAATACAGCCAACCCTGAAAATGACCTGAAGACTGCAGAATAGACCATCTACACCTGGCAAAGAAGAGAAGACCACTGAGAAGGGTAAAGGGGCAGAGTCGTGATTGATTAGGATCCAAGCCCTTCTCCCACCCCAGCTCAAAAGCAGGAGGGAGAGGAAGAGAGCAGGGAGGGGATAAACACTCAGGAATCTGGCACAT